ATACCGACAAAGACAAGGGAGACCGGAATGGCCATTTCTGGCTTATTAGCCGTCATCAGCCAGTCATACCCAACCCCAAGTGTGGATCACTTGAGATTCGAACCCGGGATCTTTGGTCATGGAGTTGAACGCTCTACCATTGAGCCACGGGCCTGCGAGGGTTTAAGTATGAGCCCCAAGGCACAACGGAACGAGCATGTTCCGCAACCTGATCGGTGAGCGCCCACTGTCATAGTCAATATTCCCGATCACAGCCGACAGGACAACGGGCCCGTGGCTCAATGGTAGAGCGTTCAACTCCATGACCAAAGATCCCGGGTTCGAATCTCAAGTGATCCACACTTGGGGTTGGGTATGACTGGCTGATGACGGGTAATAAGCCAGAAATGGCCATTCCAGTCTCCCTTGTCTTTGTCGGTAATATCATTCTGCCTATATATGATGCGCCGCTGTGCGGCTGCTGGTTGGCCTCGAGAGAGAGCCCTTAAGACACAACGGAACGCGTGAGTTCCGTATGAACGATCGGTGAGCACCCCCTAACATTGTATATTCCCGATCGAAAAGCGACAGGGCAACGGGCTCGTGGCCCGGTGAGTAGAGGCGTTGACTTCTAAACCAACAGGTCGCGAGTTCGAGGCTCGGGTGTTCCACACTTCGGGCTTGGGTATGGCTGGCTGACGACGGCTAATAAGCCAGAAATGGCCATTCCAGTCTCCCTTGTCTTTGTCGGTAATATCATTCTGCCTATATACATATATATGCATACATATAGATGTGATCTCTTTCCTTAAAATTATAGGCAAATACAGGAAGACATTCAGTGCATGCTGAACGAGGCAGACTGAAGCCTGACCTTAAAGAATTCCTTCGAATTCCATACTACAACCAACTTTCGGTGTCATCCCCTACTAACAACGTCTACCAATGCTGAGCCAGGAATGGCGTGGTCACTGCAAGTTAGGTATATAACTACAGCTATAAAGTACCCAATCAGGGTAAAGGATAAAATTCGTAATCCTTCAGCAGACTGCTCCCACCATTCCACCCTACTGTTAAGTCCCAATCGTCTCCAACCGAACACAAAGGACCAAAATCGTCCGCACGTCTGAGTTTCAAGGCGCCCAAACGGAGAGGCTCTAGGGAGGCATATCTATGGAGTATAAAAATGACGGTCTACCGTAAGGCGACTAAGACTAGGCGCATCCTCCACTTCAGAAGCAACCACCCTGTCCGTCACAAATGCAGTTGTGTCAGGATCTTTTTCTGACTTCGTGGTCACTCGACGAAGTTACGGACAACTATGTCCAGGCTGAATCTTCGTTCTGAATTTTTCACGCAGAGGGTAGTGGAGAAATGGAACGATCTCCCTCAGGCAGTCGTGGAGGCGATGTCTTTTCAACTCTTCAAAAAACGATTATTTGTGTCCCCTGTTTTCCCTCGACAGTCTGAATCTGAACTAACACCCCACGACCCCGCAAATGTTTTTCTCTGACACAGTGCTACTCGAATGAATCAAGTACTGTTTATGTAGCGAATATTTTCATTGTTCGTGTACAGTTGTTTCTGACGAGCTGACATGTAATCAATAGGGTTTTCAAAGGCCTTGCCTATTATCCTTGCCAAATAAACAAGTAAACTGAAACTCATCCAAACACACTGTAACGGCGACAATGAGAGGAAGGGGGTGAAGTACTAACGTGCCCTATTTGAAGCGGTTACTCGAAGTCGTTAATGCGCAAGCGTCTCAGGAGGCCTCACTCTAGGCAGTCGAGCGAGGAGAAGCCAAAGTTCTGGATCTCGATCCCCTAGGTAAAGAAGGTTTCAGAGGCGACGTCAAGAATCGTGGAACCTTTTGGGATTGGTGTGGCTCTTAAACTGGCATCAACAATCAGAAGGCAGATTATAAGGCCCAAAGACCCGCTGACAATGACAGAAAAATTAGCGGTGGTTTACAGCATACCATGCTAAGATTGTGATACAAGATGTGTTGATGTGACCGGCAAACGCCTCGGCAGACTATTGCACGAACACTAGCTTGGAATCAACCGCAAGGGTGAGCTGTCGCTGGTCTACAGCCACACACGATAACAGAACCACAGCTTCGCCGTAGAGAAAACGAGGGTGATCGGCCAAGCCAATGAAAACATGGTCAGACCGACGCTGGAAAGTTGGTCCTCAACTGGCACGCTTAACTGAGGCATAGATCTGCATCCCTCCCACCAGGCGCTCCGCACAAGGCCCAAGTCTGTCCAGACAGGACCAGTAGGACGGGTAATACAAGTCGCACGTGGTCGACTGTCGACGCTCGCGGAGGAAAGAGGAGACGCCGATCGGAAGTCACGTGACTGGTGTGGCACACTTCCCCAGGGACGTACCTGCGTGGTCCAGAACACCAAGCCTGACCAACAAGGACTGACCAGTCCTCTGTCCGACGAGAGGAAGGCCGACAAGCACGCTGATTTGGCGGCAAGCATGACGGTCGTGAAGGGAATGCCACAAAAGTCCGGCAACGGTCAAAATCGGAGATGTCCGAATCAGACAACAGCAAACAAGCTGGCCAACGTACGTGCGTTGAGCACGGTTATAGTGTGGGGCAGGCGGCAAGACTGAACAAATCAAGGCCAGCAGGCAAATCCAGCGAATGACTCCAATGATGGAAAGGAGAGGGTTCCCGAGACGTGAATATGAATACAACGTGGGCAACGGCAGAGTGCGGGATTCCACTGTACTGTATACGTCAGTTGTATGGGGTCCCAAACCATTCCGTCACCTTTTCTTGCATTCCTGACTAAAAGCAGCCTTACCAGCAGCGGTTGACTCATATTGCCTTCATCCTGCCTGCTCTCCGTCCTGCGTTTTGTTTCACCAAATAAAACCCTCTATATAACAATTCCCGTATGACACGGTCCACAGGCCACCTGAAATTAGTTCGGATCATACACCCTGCCGTTGCCGCAAACTTCGGAGGGTGATTAACACGACAGATGTATCTGGAACTCGAATCATCACGTAAAAGTAAGATAAAACTGCCAGGAAATTAATCGGTGGGATCCTGTAGCTCAGCTGTTTGGAGCGTTGGTAGTGCTCAAGCCTTGCCCCTGCAGTCGTGAGTTCGAATCCCATCGAGTTTTTCATAACTGGATCAAACGAACTACCAGCAAAAACATCGGAGATTTGAATGGCCACTTTTGCTTAATTAGCCGCCATCAGTCGCTCTGCGACATGCCTGCCCGGTAGATGAGAAAAAACCCGGGCCGGATAGTTAGTAGGGCAAACTTCAAAATTTTGTAATTCGGCAAAAAACAAAAAACGCTACCCCGCCATTCAAAGGCGAGAATGACTGCGAAAGTGTAAAAAGAGACAAGTTAGTCACCGAACGGAGGAGAGTATAGACTGTCCAAAGAACCGACGCAAGTCCACCTTTCGCGTATTTGGCACATAGCGAATGGTGACAGAAATACGGGTTTTGCGGGTAAGGCACTCCGCCAACGGTTGAGGGCAGCTCTGGAGATTGAAAATAAGCTTTTTCGGGATCTGCTCCTCCTCATTCGCCAGCGTAGGTGCTTGTGCTGCTGCTGCTGCTGCAGAATCGCCTGCAGGACCGGAGGGGAGAACATCCGACTGGAGTTCCTCGATGCCATGCAAGTAGTACGTATAGAGCAGGTTGCCGACCATGTTCAGACTGCGAGGCATTAGAAGGGCGGAGCCCACATACCGATCGGAGAATGCAGCACTCTGTAGAAAAGTGCCAGAAATATGTCAATAGGTCGGTCGATAAAAGGAAAGTCGGAGGCCATCACGGGGCACCTAGATGGCATCCGTCAAGAGGAATAATCATTCTAATTCAGTGCACTACTAATCCCAGTCACAGGGGGAGGTGAGAATCGGATGATTTCACTGTGTGATGGAATTCAAGATCTACAGCCCACGGGAGCACTCTCATAGCGACTGGCAGTCAACACTCGAGAAGTGTTAGAGGTAAACACAGGGACATTTGAGTGGTCATTTCTCGGTTACTGGCCTTCGTCAGCCGACCAGCCCCCAAATGCCGGTGCACCGGGGTTTGAACCCGCAGCATGGGTAGGCATTCGGTGCACACCGGATCTTGGACCTAGGAAACATGCTAGGGGCCCTCTCAGAAAGCAATCTCATAGTCTTCTTCATGTCTTAGAGTTTGTTGCATGCTTCTCAAGTAACGCGAAAACGAGTGGACAGTTTGGACTAGCCTGTGGCTACCCACCGAGTCAATTTGTGACAAGCACTGGCGAAGCCGAATCGAAAAATACGCAGGCAATCCCACACAAGCAATTTGAGTGGCATGTACCTTTAATTCTCAAAGAACCTCGCGAAAATTTGAGCAAATGTATTATACTGCGCCTCGGATATCAGACCCCTAGTACGCGGCAATACCATTTGAACGGAATGCTACTCCGAGAAGCAGAAACGCAGAAAGATTTTGAAGTCTGGGTTGCAGATAGCCTAAAGACGTCTACACAATGTTGTAAGGCGGCCAAGACCGCAACTTCAATGCTATATGCCATCAAGCGGGCATTCGCAGTTTTCGATGAAGACTGCTTCTCCAAAGTCTTCGGCACGTTTGTAAGGCCGCATCTCCAATATGCAATTCAGGCCTGGAGACCATGGACGCATCAGGATTACAATCTGCTCAAAGGATGCAGAGGCGAGCAACAAAATTAATAAGAGGTCAAAGTGCACTGCCATACGAGATCCGCTTAACTAACCTTAATTTCTATCCTCTGAGTTATAGGCAGTTGCGCGGAGACTTGATACAAACTTTCCGTATCGTGCGCGGCTTGGACTGCGCCCTTCGGTGCGACGACCTTTTCCAACTCGCCACTACAATTAACCTCCGCGGACATCTCTTCAAGCTACGTGTGCCCCAGGGTAGATTGAATGTGAGAAAATATTTCTTCTCCAACCGTGTCGTGGAACCGTGGACTAACCTGCCCGAGACGGTTGCGATGTCTCAATCTGTGGCGATATTAAAATGTCGGCTTGACAGACATATGCTGCAGCAACAAGCGGACTATGTGACTTTTAGCCATGAGACCAGTGACATATGTGAATCAATGTATGCATTCACTTAATGCTTTTCTTCACAATTTTGCTTATTTTATCGATTTTTTATGTACAAATAGGGAGTTCAAAGGCGTAAGCCTATTTTCCTCAAATACACCGACTGAATGAAAATGTCCGAATTACATAATGGGATCCATTCTACGGCGTCCGCGGGAACCAGTGAGCTCTGCAACCCTGGGTCAGTGGTTTGGACGAATAATAAGCGGGCTGGACTACTCAACAGATAACAGACTCTTGGCATTGGATGGTGGGGTGTTCGAACGTTCCAGGGCTCAGGCACAAAACGTCTGATGGCTCGCAGTCTGCATAAGTGCAACGCGGATCACAGTCTGTCTGAATTTCGGAGTCACTACTCAGGCGCCCAGGTCCCGCGGGTCAACTCCCGCTCTTCCACACGCGATCATGTGACTCTTTTGATGGACAGTGTAACGATCGCCTTAGTAACAAGCAAGCCATGCAAAACTTTCGTGGGAATCAGTCAATGACCGATTGGCTTACGCATGACCGACGAATCACTTATAGGCACATTAACATTAGCTGCCGACCAGCAAGGAAAATACACGCACATACACGCAATTGTTGAAATTCGCTCATTGTTTTCGGGGACTGGAACGACTCTTCAGCTACTTTATTGGCCGCCTTGGATTTGGCTGTCAATAAGACAATTGAGGTGAATGCAGGACCGGTCAAGAACAAGCATCTGTCGATCTGGCAGTCGAACGATGATCGTACGGTCAGTCGGACTGAGTAAATTATGGTCAGTCCAAGGTTTCATAACTACTTTTACAGCAGCAGATCGATGCATGGTACCCAAACAGGCTACCTCTGTGGGTCAGACTGCGCTTTCGTTCGCATGCGTCCGAAAGCTCGTCTTCCATCCGCACTAATATCTTGATCTGTAATACCCGGATCGGGGAGGAGCGCAGGAGCAAATGGTCACCCTCGACGTCATCAGTCGACAAGACAGCTGAGAAAGTGTTGGAATTCGCGTAGCGGTGCCGCAGTTGTCTGTCCAGACGGCTCGAGCTAGACCGTGTAACGATTATTCCTTCCGCCAACAGCGGAAAGTGACGGCCAAGTCTGCCAGATATGACCGCAAAATCTATCAGACTGAGGGGGAACAGGTGCAAACATCAGTGACAGTAGAAAATACTACCAACTTACTGACCAGGTTTTTGGTGAGTCCTCGGTAATTATTGACTATTCACGGTGTACAAGGTGGATATAGTGCTGACAATTCGGAAGGCTGAGCGCTAGCATGCGCAGTTCGTGTGTTTTCTTAACTTCGCTGACTAACCCAACCCGTCTTCCGCTCCTCTCCGAGGTGGAGATATCTTCTTCATCGGTCTATGCAGTATAGTCTGGCCTTCCTTCACGAGTAGGCATCATGATGGCAATGCTGATACCGTGAAACAATAAGGTGTCAGCAGCAGACGGCATCCCCGCCAATGTCAAGAAGTCTTCAGTCGGCAGTGGTGTCATGGCACCATGTACAAACCAACGCATTCCTCACTATAATAAACTGAAACGTCTGAGAAGAACGAAGTGCTCACCGGACCAAGGGCATTGTATTGCTGACGTTTCGGAGAGCTAGGCTGGCTCTCCATTATATAAGCGTTTAGTGCAAAAATCAACCCACGGAAAGATCAGCAGTTGTCTACCAAATACGTTGTAGCGATGGAGACCGTAACTACGTTGGGGAAACCGGGCGGAAACTGCAGACCCGCTTACATGAGCACAAACTGGCAACCTGGAGACTAGACCCGGACTCACAGCTTGCGACTCACATCGGAGAAACTGGCCACAGTTTTGACTTTCAAGGAGCAACCTTCTTAGGCCAGGTCATCTAAAGGACAGAACTTCTAACACTTAAGGCTTGGTACTCAGATGCCAACTCCGTCAACAGGCATCCAGGCCTTTTCTGCGACCTATACAGTCCTATGTCATTGCATACGTCATAACCAAGACAAAACGGTCACAAGGAGCTCTTCAAATTTTGTACTTGAAGAAAAGGGTATAATTTGGTTTTAAAAAACTTTTCCAATTCCTGAAAAATTGTGAACCCGACCTGTCGTTACATTTGCCTTCAAGGTTTCCGAATTACAATCTGTATACTTTCCGTGTACGCAAAATCATACATTTCTACACGCTTTTAAGAGAAGACCATAGGTGGTTCATAAAATTTAGCAGTGGATTTGAGCCGTATTGTAAACTTGGCCGGCTCTCCATTATCAAAGCGTTTAGTGCGAAATTCGATCAGGATTCTGAAGAGACAGCCGAATTAGTTGGCCTTGTTCTGATCGATTTTTTTCCTTCTTTCGCTGCCTTGGCCGTCTGACCATCGTTTGTGATTGCTGGTGGCCTCCTGTGTCGTGTGCCGTCACCTCAATTGGGGTTAGTTGCGTTTGTGTCCCCTTTTGGGTGAACTGGTCGACGAGTCGTGTTTGCTCGGTATTACTGTCTTGTCCTGGTAATGGTGCATGCAGTGACGTAGGACTTTATAGACCGCAAGAGGTCCTAGATGTCTGTTGACGGAGTTGGCATCTGAGTACCAGGTCTCAAGTGTGAGAATTTTTGTCCTTGAGATACCCTGGCATAAGAAGGTTGCTCCTTGAAAATCAAAACTGCGGCCAGTTTCTCCGACGCGAATCGCAAGCTGTGAGTTTGGGTCTAGTCTCCGAGTTGCCAATTTGTGCTCATGTAAGCGGGTCTACAGTTTCTGTCCGGTTTCCCCAACGTAGTTGCAGTCTCCATTGTTACAACGTATTTGGTAGACGCGGCTCGGAAGGCTGCCAACTGACGGAATAACTCGGTTCTTTTTAGGACTGAGGGTTAGGCCGCACTGGCTCCCTCATAATGTGGCCTTTACGGCAGGCGTAGACGGACCGTTTAACTCTGTTAGTTACTGCGCCGTCGCCCATCCCTGATCGTTTTGTCATCGGAGATGGGGAGGGAGAGAATGTGGTAGATTGTGCAATTATTTACCGTACTGACAACACAGGTAGAAGCTAAAAACCCAGATACGCGTGATTCGCCGATCTTATGCCGCTGCCTGACGCAGCTGCGAGGGCTCCGGGTCATCAGTGGGTCCCCCAGCCTTACCCGCGTGTTTTCTGGTATATGAACTTCAGTTTCATCTTGATTTCTTGCCAATACGGTAAATAATTACATAATTCTATACTACTGGCTGCCTGTTGGCGGTTTGTGAATATTACGCAGTTATTCCGCAGCAGCTGATGAATTTCAGCCTAAATATTCATATGAAATTTCGGGTCGTGCCTGAAAAGGTCTGTCCCGAAAGATTTACTCCAAGTTCGCAAATTAATTTCCTCGGAAATTAAACAAGGAAATGTGGTAGATGTTGCGCAAATTCCCGTCCTGGGCCAATTCTGTGGGAAACTCGGTGGACGCTGTCGTCGTCGTCCGCAAATACAAATGGGAACTTGAATCCGATAGTCCTTTAGAAAAAACAAATTAGCTTCAATTTTCCGCAAAACTGGGGTCCAGGGGACAAGCTCAAACCAAAAAACAACACTAAGGGCTAATTACGGCGAAATTAGCAAAGCTGGCGCAGCTGGTCAACTGCCGACAACGAACGCCATTTTGTTCAGGGGGAGTGTGATCGTGGTTTGCCCGTAATGAACCAGTCGAGCCGACTGAAGATAAGTATAGGACGCAGTAAGGAGTAAGGCAACCTTATCCTCCGCCCTGACTCACGGTGTTCAGTTGGCAACTTTTCACGCCACGACGGATAGCGAAAGAAAACTAGGCGCAGAGCCGAATTCAATATTTTTTCCTTCGTGCCATAGTCAGAGGCAAGTACATGTCAGGCCGATCTGAGATGGCATCGATCGTCGTGGTCGACGTGGTAGCGGAGTCCGCGTCTACGCGTGCAACACACGCGCCGGCCGTTTTAGGGGAGTTGATAAGACTAATAAACAGGCAACGGGCACGTTACGCGAGCAGCACGGCAGACCATCCCTAAAAGACTATTAATGAAGTGCACAGAAAGACGTTAAATAAAAATAAAAAATACTAATGATTCAGCCTGATCACTCGATTTCACTTAAGACGACTATCCAAAATGCCCCTTCTACAGTTAACTGTGGTTAGAATAGTTAGACTCCCAGACCCTATTTGAATGCCAAGAGAAGCAGTCTAAATTTGATTTCCACATATACAAAATGTATTATGCCAACGACGAGATGCGCCAACGATAGTTTAAACGCTTAAAGCAATCGGTGTTTGCCACCCGTCTGTTGCCTAAACACGATCAGTGACCTGTTGCCACTTGAAGACGCGCCAACGACATTACTACTGAAGTCTGCAGAGCACTTAATCAGACCCGGTGGAATATTCCTCCTTAGTGGGACATTAAGGATACAAAGGTATGCAAAAGAAAAGCAAAAGTTCGATTCACCCACCTGTTCTTCTTCGATTGGATTATAGAAGTCTAGGACGCTGTGACCACCAAGATTAACTGTCGTGACGACGGGGTAGTACAAGGAGCCGTCATGGTGTGGCTAAATCAATCCTAGTAAGATCAGAAAACTGAAGACGACGATATACCATTATGCCCTGGCCAGGTTTGTATTCATTGATGAGAACGTGATTGGCTCGATAGGGTCCAAAGACGCCCAAGTCAGATACCCGGTCCATTAATGAGTGCAGCCACTAGGGAAGGGGGTGAAGTGAGGGTAATAAAGTGGTTTCTGGCAACGGGAGAAGTACCTCGGGAATTTCCTCGGCAATCATGCCTTTTACGTGCGGCGTTCCACCCCAAATCTGCAGTCGTCTATTGCCAAGGCATTGCCAACGACGTTCAGGAACAGAGTAGATGTTGCGTAGGAGGTCAGCTTCCGTGTCAGCATCAATAAAGTCCGGCATATAAATGAAGGTTGTCGGAGCACTTGGGACAATGTACGATCTGACAGAGTCTGGCCATGGGATGTCATCACCCGCGCCTATAGGTTATAGGTAGCGAAGAAAAGAAAATAACTTTCTACAAGAGCCACAGGAGGGGCGGTAGCTTGTATGAAGGAGAACAGTACGGCAACGGCAAGAGCAGTCAGTGACCGAATGTGGGAAATGTGCGTTTAAAAGGACAGCAATACCAGTCACTTCAACGTAGTGAGGTGTGGCGGTGAATTACCCGTAGCTCCTGCATCCGAAAGTTGATTTTGAGGTTCAAGGGCTGTGACAACCCAATCTGCATCCAGCAAAATCGCTCGGCCAAATTTCCAAACAGTCAACCGTCGACTGCTACGGTTATTTACTTACTGACTCATACTTGGTACGGCTGCGATCGTGACTAATCTAGCCAGCCTCGATGATGTCCCGAACTGTACCTCTGCACGCGTGACGATCCGCGGCAGCAGATCTGGACAGTTCAAACCATTTCCTTCACCAACGACGTAGACTGAATACCGAAGGTCCAAGAACCACCTCCATGTCTTGACGAACTGTGTCGAGCCAGGCTTTGAACTGATCCCCTCTTCGACGCCTCCAATGGGCCAACGGTGCCGGATCGAGGGCAGTAACACTGAGCTCCTGACGTGGACGACGAAGAACATGCCTGAACCACCTCAGTCGTCTTTCTTGGATGGCCTGGGTCATCCTTGCGATGTTGTCGCAGCGAGCGCGGACGGTCTCATTTGAGACGAAGTCGGTGAACTTCACTCGATTGATTGTCCTCAAGCAATGATGGTCAAATACCTCCAGTTTTCGCTCGTCCTCCACGCACAAAGCCCAGCATTCACAACCATTGAGACGGAAAGACCGGACAGATGCACGGTACACGCGAATTTTAGTGGCGATGGAGATGTCGTGTCGAATCCATAGGCCTTTCCGAAGGCTTGAGAAAACCCAGCGGGCAGCATCGATTCGGAAGACAATGTCGTCCTTACTCTGTCCATTAGGCAGTAGCCTCGCCCCGAGGTATTTAAAACTGTTTACTTCTTCAAGTTGACAGCCATCAATCTCGAGAGGTGCCTTCTCCTAGTCAGGGATGCAGCTTGAAAACACTTTGTTCTTCCCGATGTTTTTGGATAAACCGACCGATTTAGCAACCTCGTTCACCCGTGACACCATAGACTGCAGATCACCAAAAACTTGAAGCAAGTAAGGCGATATCATCGGCATAGTCGAGATCAGTCGGTCGGTGTCCGGGTGCAAACTCAAAGCCGTCACTCTCGCGTAGGGCCCTCCCGAGGATCCAGTCAATGGCATAGTTGAACAGAATGGGTGACAGGATACAACCCTGTCGAACGCCAGACCGAATACCGAACGGTTGGGAAAGATTGTTGCGGACCAGGACTCTCGCAGTAGCGGAGCGATAATAGGCCTTGACCATGGCGATGATTTTTGCCGGTACATCATCTAGCGTCATTATCCGATACAGGGACTCACGGGGAACGGAATCGAACGCGGCGGCAAAGTCAATGAAGCAGACGGCCGTCGGTTGCTGGTAGCTGTGGCGGAATCCGAGAATACGCCTCAGTGTGGATACCTAGTCCGAACATCCATGTCCGGCACGAAATCCGGCTTGGTTCGGCCAAGTCCTTGAGTCACGCACTGACCGGAAAAAAGCATTAGGCTGAAATAACATCCTTCATAGAACAGGCTCCGAACATTGGGGAGACTGTCTCCTCAGTCTCCCTTGTCTTTGTCGGTAATGCCATTCTGCCTAAAATGCACTCAATCTGACTGGCCGTATGACCGTCGTCTGAATAACAGGTCACCAGATGTTGTTGCGATGCTGGCGGCACGCGTTGGCGAAAAACAGGCGGTTCTGATCAGCAATCTTTCGCCATTCTTACATCGAGAACCAAGTCCAAAGCGGCCAATAAGATGACTCTTTGTAGGGTCGACAGGCCCAGTTCGGCCATTCCAGTCCCGGTAACAATCATCAGATCGCGACCAGGGAGTCTTTCAACTAACGGTTCCAACTGCGAGTATGACGCCTCTTTATCGCGCTGTTCGGTAGCTGAAGTTGGTGTGCACACAGAAACGATAGAAATGTTCGTGAATTGACCCTTCAGTCGCACGTAGGCCATCCGGTCATTGACTGGTTTCCAGGCAAGTAAAGCATGGTTCGCTTGTTGAGTGGGGGATCGCCTCACTGAATCTACCATGAGAGTCGCGTGGGCCGTTGTAGTACAGGCTTAAGTGTGAGTCGATTCCCGGGATCGTAATTTCCCGAGAGCCTGAGTCAGGAGATCGGACCTCAGACAGGCAGCAGACAACCCCATTGTATTGATAGAGGCTGTGGACGGTCAATCTTTGGGTAACTGGGTCCAGGAAATTTCGCACATTCCAGTATCCAATACCAAGAGTTTGTTCCTGATTGAGTATTCCAGCTCGCATATTATTCGCCCGCACCACTGGACCAGGGTTGCGGAGCGCGTCCATTCCTGCGGACGTCGCAGCATGGGACGTAATACTGTGACCGGACATATTTCATGAGGTTTGTTGGGATTTTAGATGAAGGCGGGTCCCCAACATCTGGTCGGATTATTTGTTCGAAGTTGTTTCCTCATCGGTTTACAAAAGGTCGCAAGAAAGTATTTGCGCGATCACGCATCCTGGAGTTGTTTAGAATGGATGAGCGATGTCTGGGGTGCCTTTCGTTGAACAGTTTACCAAACCAGGCCAGTAAGCCAATACGGGACAAAACGGACTTTAGGAAGATCAAGCATGGCCACCGAACATGGACTTCGGCAGTAAACTGGTAGACTGGAAATTGTGTGCGCCAAAGATATCAACCTTTCCTTTATGCCTCTACGGTCGAAACTTGACTGTATAGAACGAGTATTTAACGCTATTTTTGATGACAAAATAGCACCGTATTTAAATTTCGAAGGAAAGGAAACGAAAGCCCTTGTGAATCGAAATTGCCCTGATGGCATTTATTCGCCTTGGGCTAGACATTTGCTAGCCCATTTGATTTGAGGATTAGTGCAGGGCTGGTAACCTAACTGGCTGGCGGTGCTTGATCTGTGCGAGGAAAGGAGCTTTCATATCAAACCCCCTCTTCGATGCTCACTCGAGTGCATTTTGCACGTCACGCCTGCGGGGTCTCCTTGCGCGTACGCACGCACTTTGCCTGGAATTTTAGGCGTCCGTCTGGCGACTTAAATCGCCTCGAACGACAACGCCCTCAACTTGCCCGAGGTGCGTCAACTTACTGTCCGGTGTGGGCGGTGTCTGTTAAGATCGATGAAAAAATCCAGTTAATCGTAACACTAGCCCGCGACCGGGTTAGTCCTGGGCAAGTAGAATGCTATCAGAGCATGCAAGTGTAACATATCACAGACTGAACAAGTTGTTCGAGTGAAGTGTGGGGCACAGAGGCGGGACCAAGGATGGGTATGACGCGATGGAGTGTCAGTGAAGACGCCGGTGTCCCCTTACATTCTCAGTCGCTGACCCACGTCACTGCGGTTATCGTCGGTTTTGTTCGGTTTATATTCTCTCTTACTAAATGTCAGCATCCCCACGTCCTTCCCCCACAGCTGCCTCCAGCGCTGCACTCCCCACCGATGGTCTAACTGACACAACAAAACACTCCCCACTCCAGAGGAGACCGTATTGGATGTACAACCCTTCCCTGTATTACCTTGTATCTTTATTACTCGTATACACAATTAACGTCTTCTTATGTTTACACTTCTTTTTATGGTCTCGGCATGTGTGTTCAACGTGTAACTCACCAAACCTGCTCAGTATTCTTACGGACGAAGAATTGACAGCAGGTGCCTAATATCGGCGTGTGGGCCAACCTCTACGTCGTCGGCCGCTATACCCAAGGTTATAACAGGTGTGTAGTCGACTGACTCCACAAAGTCATCCAACGCGACAAAATCGACCGACTTCATGGGACGTACAGCTAGGCAGCTTGACGGGTATAGAAAACAACATGTGATTTTTGAAGCTGCTGGTTGACTACATGTTCACTTTGCTCCAACGTTGCGTTTCCGCTTACCTCAAGAACCAGGGTGGTCGTGCCTATCCTCGTCCTCCCCGACTCCCGGTACAGACATGGACGATCTGACATGATTTTGTATCTTAAGTTTCCAGTAAAATTACGAAAATCAACAAAAGTTAAATGTTAGGGTTATTTTAACGACAGGGGACTTGGTGAATGGTAAACATTGGGTTTTTAAAAAACTGGGTTATGGAAGGCTGCGAAAATCGTCACATTTGAAATCTGACGGTCTAACTAGACCAGCTGATCTTATACAATTGCAGTTGGAAGTAGTCATGATCATCGTGCACAAGGAAAAATAGAATCCGCAAACAAGCAATGATGAGCCTGCTGACTACCTCAATCATTCAGTAAAGAGAATCAATCATAAGAATGCAAAAAAGCTAAATTACACACCCATTGAGAAAGATCAGGTACCGACGATGTCCCGTAAGCGGTCGGCTCACCACTCGTTGCAAATATACAACCACAACACCTAAAAACAAACAGAGTAATAGGATAAAAAAACAAACTCTACACTAAGTAGAACGAGAAAAAGGACATTGAAACCAAGCAGTTAAATCTCACTCAGTCGTACTTCATAAAGAGAGATTTATAAAAATATTCATTACAGAACCATTTGGTAATTTTCTAGTTACAAGAGCGTTAGTAAATTAACTAGACGCCGGTTCATCTTTATTAATTTATAGATTTGGAGATTTTATGAAATATTAAGCTCAGTAGCGTCATACAAATGACGTAAACGCATATTTTAAACGCGCAAATGAGCCTTAAGATGGTTTTTACCAAAAACGGTCGTCTGAAATAACTGTGTTTGCAGTCTACTAGTTCTGATTACGAAGTGTGGATCACCTCGTGAGGTAGTGTTTGGTAAAAATTGCGAAACCCCGAACTCCCTATCTGTTGAAGTTACCTTATATATATAAGGATCGGCAAAGAAAACATCGAACGACGGACTGGTACGACAACCTTGAAAACCGATGCATACAACGCGATCATTTTCAAAGAACATCATCCTTTTCATTATACTGACTTGCAATACATAAAATCCCAGATCGACATATATGTGCATCTGCATATTTAACAACAAATACGCCCTATGTGGAAAGTGGGGAAATGAATTAACGAAGTTTCGATGCTGCTTTGAACCACGTCGTCCTCAGACAATGAGCTAATGTGTCCAAATACTGGTTTGTGAGTAGCACGCTGGTCATTGTATGTACAACTTTGCTACAGACGAAACAGTAAGCTGTCAGCTATATTAAAACGTCAGTAATTATGTGTAGTGATTTAAAGAGGGTAGGAAATTTCGATTTTATCTTATATTTTGTAGTTGAAGGGTCGCAGACAGAGCCCTTGATGACCCTATTCATGCATATTTGTTTCGTGATTTCCCACTCAAAATAAAGTGACAAGCATGTTAACTGTTGTCGACTCACAATACAACATCAATAAAAAACAATCGCAACCGTATAGTGTGACTCCTGACAAGAAGATTGTGGATGACAAAATGTTTCAAAAAGCTGGTTGTTAATGATCAGGTTGCAAAAGACTATCCCTGTCAAAAAATATGCGAGCAAGTTTTCTTTTAAGCGTCTAAATTGTGGTCGCCGTCACAGTCTCACTTCGTAGCGAGTTCAATGGCTGGAAAATCCGTTGGCTGAAGGAGTTCTTCCTTCGATGAAGGCGCGTGGGTTCACTCTTGAATTTGTAGGGATGAACGGTTAGTCGATATTTAGTGGCAAATTCAGAGACGTCTTACGGTCCCAACGAGCAACCATAACAACTGACAATCTGGAATGGCCAGAGTAAGCTGCAGCTTCGGTTAAGTAAAGTTTGTTTGACAAGGATGATAAGCAAGGCCTTTTGAAACCCCTGATGATTAGATGCCAGTCCGTTAGATACAACTGTACACGAATAATGGAAACTGTCGTTATTATAATAGTACCTGTATTATTTAAGTTGCATTGTTTTTAAGCCCACAATGTCTGTGGTTCATGAGGTATTCAGTTCCGGTTCAGACCGTCGAAAGAGAACAAGGGACACAAATAATTATTCAATCGTTTCTTTAGGAGCTGCAGGGATCCCGCCCCCACGACTGATTGAGTGAGATCGTTCCATTTCTCCACTAACCTACGTGTAAAAAATCCAGACCGAAGGTTCATCCTGGACAGTATGGTGTGTAGCTTCATTAAGTGGCCACGAAAACAGGGCTAGAGATGCCACTGAAACATGCCCTCAAATTTTAGTCCATGGTCAAGACCATGTATCATCTTGTTAACCGCATAAGATCACCTCTTTGCTGCCTGTAACACAGACGGAATACACAAAGTCCGTTCAGTCGTTCTGTTTAAGATTGGTTTTTAAATGCCTTACCAGCTTTGTTGCGCGGCACTGTACTTTTCGAGGCATGTTTAGGCCTCTGTTAGCCATGGCCGCCATGCTTGTATCAAGTATTCTAGATGAGGCCTAACAAATGTGTCGTCAATTCTCCAAAAAAGTGTTTTTGTCAAAGTTACAAACGCTTTTTTGGTCGCATGGAGTACTCCCATAGCGTTTTTGCAGCCCTGCTATACTAAGTGTTGGTTTCGTGTCGCTCTGTATCCAAACACCGAGATTCTTCTGCGAAGATTTTCCGGGAAAAATGTTTTCAGGTGATTTGCCCACGTGCTATCATCTGAATGGCAATTGGTTGGGCGCAGACGAAGGACAACACATTTCTGTACATTGAAACCCAGAGACCATTTCTCGGACAACGTTTGCAGTCGGTGCACATCATTTCGAAGGACTCCCATGCCATTCGAACCCTTGATGACCTGTCAGAGCTTATCGTCATCGGCAAACATTATTTTGCCTCAGTCGAGTTCTTGAAGGCTGTCATAAACATAAAGGATGAAAAGAAAGGGCTCGGGAACCGAGCCTTGAGGCACACCACTTGTCACATTTACAAAGTATGGCATATCATCTCCGATACAGACACGCCGTTTTCGACCAACCAGAAACGCCCTTATCCAGTTTAGAAGATCTCCCCGGACACCGAGGACGATAAATTTTTGAAAAAGGACGATGATGCAGGACAGTGTCGAAGGTTTTGCGGAGATCGAGGACATGACATTGGCCTTAGAATCATTTTCTAAGGCCTTGGACAAGACCTGCAGACAAGTTTTGGTATTTCAGAGGCAGAAACGTGCTCTCCGGAAGTCGTGCTGAAAATTCTGTAAGATGTTATGTTCTTTGCAAAATTACTGCAAAGTACTCCTTACTAGAACTTTTATCGTTATACATGAGAGGCAAGTTAAGCTAATAGGTCTGAAAATGCTTGCTGTCGTCCTGCTACCTCCCCAATATAAGGGAACGAGGTTGGCTGTCTCCCTCTGCGACGGCAGCCTTCTTGTTCTCAAAGGGAGTTGAAAGAGGCTTTGCCAGCTCCATTAGTAGTTACTTAAGTATAAACTTAGCTGCCTATGAGATAAAAACAATAAGCCAAGCAGATCCCACCTCTGCTGTACGATAACTGATTTAGACCATCGACCAGCCCCGCGTCGCACCTGTTCGATCAGATCAGTATACTTCTTCATCCACTGTATAGCTGCCGACATTCCATATTCCATATGGAACTACACAAAGACACCGAAAGGTCGTCTGAAGGGTTCGGGAGGAAAAATCTCTAATGGGCATCTTATCCAGTGCAAAGTACTAATTACCTGCTGGACCATCTTCTTACTGTGTTTTGACGGCATTAGATTTGTGGTCGTCCATATACCCAGATCTCTGTGTCAGTATACAATTTCTAATGTCGTCCCGTTAATGAAGTACTGATGTTTGGAGAGGCATTCCGGTCTGAGTTTAGGCGTAAAACAACGCGTTTGGGCACAGTAAACTTTAAGAACCACCTGTTTAGCCAGACACTCAGTTTGTCGGTATTCAGTTGCAAGATCTTTCCGTCTTCAATGGAATTAACTTCACTCCACATTTTATGTCATCCGCGCACATGAGAGTCTCGCCATCTATTTCACGGGTGCATTGGTTTAGATAAATCAATAATGGTGGTAGACATAGAAGAGAACCCCGTGGGACCTCACTTTCACTTTTGCCCATTACGACGTAGAATTACTCGCAAAGACTCGCTGTACAATGGAGGACATAAATCTCCTGGTGCATTTAAATATTCTTCTTCGAACTTTCGCATTCCATATCCTCTGTGAAAAAAGCCTATGTGAGACGTTACCAAAGGCATTCTTGAAGTCAAAAATATGACATCTACTAGATAACCCCTATCTGGGCCCTTTGTTTCTTTCTCATGTGAGTGAAGAACACGTGTGAGACAAGAGCGTCCTTGACGAAATCCATGCCGAACATTACCAACATTTTTTCTCCAGATACCCCACTAAATGTCATTTGCTAATGCGCCCCAATATTTTACACGCGATGCAATTCAGACTGACCAGTCGATGATTTTCGCAGTCAGTTCCGAGCCTCCTTTGTGGATCGGGGTGATGACTTTTGAAATGTGATAGGCAGTGGTTCGCACAGTTCGCAATCAAGCTCTCGAATTGTTAGTGCAGGAATCCTACACGGACTAGGCGATTTGGGATGACTTGACCCTAGCTCTGGTCGATGAAGAGCGTAGATCCCCCACTGAGGATGAGGGAGAGCTTGATGAGTAGGAGGAGGTGGAGGAGGAGGGAGAGGAGGAGGAGACGATGCTGGCGGATGGGTGGAGGCTGAAATAAAGCATTAGGTTCTCCGCGAAAGCGGATTGAAAGAAATTAGAAAGGGGTGATGCTTAAACCTAGTAGTCGGTCTCCAGTTATTCGTCTTCAGACCTATGGACAGGGATCCGTTCTTGAGTTCTTTTAGTGCTCCGTGCATTCTAATATAGGATTTTTGTGTGTTTAAACGAATTTTCCAGTATTTCCAGTTCATACTTCCTTCGCAGTTGCGAAGCCCCACTTTCGCAAATCTTGCATTACTACTCATATTTTCGTATGTGCTCTTTGGAGTCGGTTAGTATGTAACGCCTTCAAAAGCGATTGCTTTTTTTGAAAGAGACCTGTAAGTTCGATTTATTCGATTTGGGCGGCTTCTACTTATGTTTCTTTGGAGAGGAAAACCGAGGTAAACAATCTCTCTCAGTAAGGAGCAGAAAGTCTTTCAA